GGGGCGGGGAGGACTTGGGTGGCTATACGGGGCGCCACGGGGGCTTCGTGGTGGCGACACGGCTCGCTGTCGTGTCTGTGGCGGTGAACAAGCAAGCCTGCTCGGAGGGTAAATTTTTTTGTGCACTAAAACCACTCATTATTCCTCTCCTGTCACAAAGTTGGATGACTGTATTCCATGAATGAAAGCAGGTTAAAAGACACAGAAAAAAAATGGCACCACTTAACCGGAACATGACAGTATTTAATTCAGGTATTTTGTAGATTACTAGCATAGTAAAAAATATTTCCACCTGTATCTTTTAAGGTTAAAAATGATCACATTAAAGACGAGTTTATAAGGGATCACAATATCAAGCAGAATTCCATTTTCCTTCTTGGATTCCAGAGGAAAAGGTATTTGGAGTGAGTCTACTTCAGGAAAGACTGGACAGAAGTAGGGCAGGTTCCTTTTCCCAAAGGAGACTCATCCCAAACACCTACCTCTGGAGCCCTAAAAGGAAGTGGGATTCTGGATACAATTGTATTTAACTTAGTACAGGCATTCCTACATGCTTGTGATACGAATTTTTCAAATTGTGGCCATTTGGGGAAACTTAGCCAAGTGTACAAGGAATCGCTTGTATTAGTCTTACAACTGCATGTGAATCTATAATTATCTCAATGAAAAATAAATGAGTAATTGCTAATTTAGATGAAAATAATAACCACTAGGGCTGGAGAGATAGCTCTGTGGTCTAAGCGCCTGCCTGGCAAGTGCAAGGACCTGGGCTCGCTCCCTGGTGCCACGTGCCATGCCAGCCTTGGAGCCCGGGGTGCGCTGTGCCAGCCACTGAAACCAGGCGTGGTAGCACATGGCTGTAATCTCAGTGCTGGGGAGGCTGAGACACGAGGGTCACTATGAGTCTGAGTTGTGTAGGGAGACCCTGTACCGAATAAATAAATAAATAATAATAATAAACATTAAAACAACGATATGTGTGTATATACCTGTGTATGTACATTGCTTAACTCTCCTGTAGTTCACATGTGGCAGAAATTGCAGAGGGTTGTGTTTGAGTAAAGTTTTGTGAACATGGTGGTCTAGGTGATAAACCAGCCCCAGCGCATCCAGTGTGCAGAAGACGCTCCACTCAGGATGGCTTGCAGAATCCTGGCTGGGGCAGAGGGTTGCGGCTCAGTCAGTGGCTCAGCACTCATGCATGCGGCCTTGGGCGTGGCCCTCAGCTCTGCACAATGGAAGGGTGGGAAAGGGGAGGGAGGGAGGGAAGGAAGGAAGGGGAGAAAAACCACAAGACTAGCTCTCTCTTAGAAAGAACCCTGCTAGACTGGCTCTGCCCAGCTTCCACATGTCTCTTGTGAGACAGCAAGTCTGAAGACCTGTGAACTCAGTGGGCACCTGCCTGTCACCTTTCCTTTCCATGATGGGAGAATCAGAATGCCCCTTAATCTGCTGTCTGCTCCATATTCTGCCCACTGGTGTAAATTTTTGGGAGACCTAGCCACGCCAGTAAACTGGGAGACCACGTACAGATCTGTCTTCAGCATTGTCACGAACCTAAATTGAGTGTTTCTTGTGTGTCACACATTGTTATAAGTAGTTGATCCTAATCTTGCCCACCCCAGGAAAGAGTCACTGTCGCACTCACATGTTATTCCTAAAGAGCCTGGGCCCGGAGCAGTCAAGAAACTCATCCCAGGTCCTAGCCAAGGAAGGGCCTGCCTGAGACCCTGCCAGTCTGCTGCAGAGCCTGTGACCCTGGCCTCCACACTGCCCTGAACCTCGTAAGAAGTAAAGTATAAACCGGATTCACAAACTCGGGGCTCGTCATTGCTCCCAGGGTTTCTCTCCGGCTTCATGAGGATGAGCCTGCATTTCTGTTTGGAGAACAGGTCTTTGGAAAGGCCATGTCCTCCAACAGAGCCTGTGTCTTCTGCTCAGTCCTTCTTGGGTTCCAAGTTCTGAGCTTTTCCCTGGGAACCAGCCTCCTGAGGTCTGTGGCTGAGAACCTGACACTGCGGCTTGAATGTGACACCAGAAGCTTGGCTTTGGGTGAACAGCAGCTGGGGCCACATGCCGTTAAGCAAGAGAGGCCTCTTGGGAACAGGACTCCTTCCCAGGGTGCTCATGTCAAGCGCTTTGACTAGAGGGCTTAGGTCACCCTGGCCGGGTGTCATCCCAGGAGGCTTTCACTGTGAAGGGGCTAATTACTCTTCATCTGTTAAAAAGAAGTTCATTTGAGTTTTTTTTAATTAATTAATTAATTAATTATTTGTGTGTGTGTGTGTGTGTGTGTGTGGGTGTGTGGCCAGCTCAGCCCACCTGGGGGCGGGGCTGGCTGGCATGTGGTGCGGGGGGACTGAACCACGGTCCCTGTGCTTTGCTAAGCTTGTTCTAAGTAGGTGCTTTAGACCACTAAGCCATCTCACCAGCCCCTCATTTGAGTTTTAATTCCATCTCAAGGTAGGCTTGCCTGAGTGTCTATAAGAATGAGCATTTTAAACAAAGATTTGCTACTTCTGGTATTGCGAAAATGGTTTCCTCTCCTGAATGTCACACAGACATGTTGATATTTAGAGAAATTTGAGGCTTTTCAGAGCATTAACACCCCGCTCCAGAGACTGAGAGACTGAAACTGTTTTCTTGCTGCTGGGACACAGTACCCGACACCCACAAGTTAAGGGAGAAGGCGGTTATTTTAGCTCACAGTTTGTAAAGGGTTCAGTCCGTAGTTGGCTGGCTGGAAGGCAGGGCAGTGTGGCAGATGAGAAGCAGTCCATGGCATGGTGGCAGGAAGTAGCGCTGAGGACCAAGGGAGTAGGAGGAACGAATATGGATGTTCCCGTCTGGGTCTTGCCCACAGCGACCCTCCTCTTCCCGCGCGGCTGTAAGCCCAGCAGCGGTGGACTGTTACCACACCCGTGGTTCACTCACCTACCCAGAGCCCCACCTGTGAGTGCTTGAGGCTTGGGGGGCTCTAGATATGAGCTGAAGTAGGAGCACAGGACACCACTGCAGTGCAGCAGGCAGCCTTGCTTGGCGCCGACAGCGTGCTGAGAGCGCGCTGCATGGCTTTAGGCCGGAATGCCTTAAATACACAGGAGGATTTTGGCAGCAAATGACTTTCCCAGATGTGGACCAGCCAGTCCTGCCGGCAGTCACTGTGTTACTCACAGTCTTTGCAAGTTGACCCTGGACAGAGATTGTGGCTGGAGGGGAGAAAGTACAAACACAGGGCGACCGACTCCAGGAAGAGGGTGAGGTGACGCGGGACGTCTTTGCTCCCAGGCAGTCGTGACCACTCTCCTCGGTGTGTCCTCTGTGCCACATGGCCTGGAAAGTCTGAAGGTCGTCTTCACCCTGATGGTTGAGTAGTCGTGTGTTTACTCGTTGGCTTGGGCTCCCTAGCCTCAGTTTACCTGCTTCAGCGTGTCATAGACACTCAGTACTTGTCAACAAAAAGCCCAAAAGTCCGAGGAGAAACACATGAAGTCCTGGGGTCAGAGGCCTGTGATGGGCTTCCGAGATGCAGCTGAGGGATCCGCCTCGTGTCCTCTTCCTATGTGCTGGCCCAAGGCCGCTTTCCATTCCTTCGCCGCTGTGCTTCATTGCTGAGGGGCTGCAGACCCCCTGGGTTCAGCCCAGTGTTGCCCCCTTTGCAGGCTCCAGCCACGAGTCCAAGGGTCCCCAAGTTCCCCAGAGGCCTGCGTGGCAGACTCCACGTGTTAGGGCTGCCATCTCACCCAGGCTGTGCTGGGCGCAGAGCCCTCTCACTGACATCCAGAACCAGTGCCTGCTCCTACTTCGAGGCCTTGGATCAGGATGCTCTGTCACCTGAGAACTTCTCGCCCGAGTTCTGTGCTGCATGCTGGCCACAGGGACAGTGACCTCGCTCCAAGACATTGTCCTGGTTCCTCCATCACAGTGTATCACTTTCTATACCTGTACTCCTGCGCCTCAGGTCACCGTGTCTGTCTCGTCTGTGCTGTAGAATGCAGGTCCCCAGGTGGGACCAGTGTGTGCTCTGGTACTGCGATAGGACCTGCCTCACATGAGCTGCTTGTCAAACAGTGACCGAACAAAGAAAGCTCTGGAGGAGAACGCCTTCTTATCTCTCATGCACGGCCACTCCTTCCCATTGAAGCCAGAGTAGTCCTTGTAGACTGTTCCCTTAGGAAGGGGGCCTGTTCGTGGGAACAGCCTTTGACCGGGGAAGGCCCAGATGTGTGGTGTGCACCACGGAGGCATTCATTTAATTTCCAAGTTGACAGGCGGTGTCCTACATTTTCTCTGGTTTGTGTAACACAGTAGTTGTCCATTGGTGTCCTGGGGAATCTGCTTCAGGACACTGTGCAGATACCAAAATGTGTAGGCGCTCAGTCCCCTTGCATAAAGTGCTGTGGTGTTTGTGCCACGTAACAGCGCCACAGACTGCTGAACATGACTGAAAGCTGGCCGCAGTTCTGGAGCCTGGCAAGTCCACCACCCGGCTCCCGCAGCTTGGCCATTCCGATTCCAGTGCCTTCGGTGCATTGTGCACCAGGAAGGAGGGTGTCACTGCCTTCCCGGGCGGAGGGCCAGAGGCCCAGGGAGCCTGGCCACACTCCCGAGAGGCCTGAGTCCCACGCCTAAGGGGCAGCTCTCCTAGCTCCATCTCCCCTTCCAGGCACCCCCTGCAGACTGTCCCAGTGGCAGGTGAACGCCATGACTGTTGAAGCTTAGAACACCCGGCTCTGAGGCTGGAGTGCGGACTGCCGCGCCCAGAACCCTTTCCTGTGGGCCTGCGCTCCGCCCCGTGCCTCCAAGGCTCATCCTCACGGTGCAGAGGCCCGGCTCACAGAGTGCTGAGCGGGCTTCCCACCCTCACTGCCCCTTGGCTGGGGTCTGTGGGAAAGGAAGGAGCTGTCCGCACACCTGCTGCTCCACCGTGTTTGGCCCCCTCGTTTATTTGCATTTTACAGGCAGGCATTCACTTCTGTCCGCATCTGACCTCTTTCCAGGGAGGTCTCCCTGAAGGATGCGAAGGACTATGCTGAGTCCATCGGCGCCATCGTGGTGGAGACAAGCGCCAAGAACGCTATCAACATCGAGGAGCTCTTTCAAGGGATCAGTGAGTACCTGAGGCTGGGCTTGTGACTTCGCCTGCATTCTGACTCCTCAGGGAAGCCAAGGATGAGGCAGTAGAGCTCTGAGGTGGAAGCTGCCCTCCGCTGGCTTCCTCTGATGCCGTGGGTATTAACCTGCAGCTCTGCCCTTGACTCAGTTTCCATTGTACCTCTCGGTCTCTTTCCCTCTCCTTGTGCTTTAGTCTGTCCCTTCTTTGTTCTGTGAGTTAAAATGAAATAATATTGTAAAAAATTAATTTAAGGTGATGCCTTTTGTTTCTAGCGCTTCCTCTTAGCGTGCTGAGGGAGAGGAGGTAAAGTAGATGGCTGTGGGGCCGCAGCTGAGTCACGCAGCAGACGGAATCCCAGGCAGCCTCGTAGTATCCGCCTGATGATCATTAGCTGAAAATAACGTTTCTGTGCTGGTGACCTGAGGTTGGCAGTGGGCAAAGGCTGTTTGGGAAGGTGTCCTGTCTGTGAGCCGATCCACGAACCAGGATGGCCCGCTTCATACAGTTCTGAGTCGCGTTGCCTCCCTCGCCTAAGTGACCGAAGCAGAGGGCTGTCTGCTCACGGTGTCCTCGACTCACAAGCACCTCCTTCACAAACTCTCTGACGTATGACTTTTCCTGGAGAGGTTCATGCCCGTGGTGAGCAGGGAAACAGAGCCGAGCCTCGTCCTGGGGAAAGCGCGACCCGAGTGTGGGGGAGGTTGGCAGTGCAGGTGCTGGCTGGAGTCACAGGCCAGGTGGGACAGCTGAGCAGGTGGTAGCTGTCCCAGACAGCGTGGTGCTGGATGGTTCCAGAGAGGACCCTGGCATTTGCTGTCCTCCGCCCAGAGCCCTCGCAGGCAGGGCTTCCCTGCCCAGAACAGAATTCATGTCCTTTCCACAGTTTTGGGTCCATCCGCTTAGACTCTGAGGACCCAGAGTGGGGAATGTCGCGTGTCCTTGTGTTGGCTTGATGAGGAGTTCGCGGGAGAGAGGATTCTGAACTGTGGTACTTCTGCTGTGCGTGGGTGTGCAGAGGACACAGGTGAGACTAACACTGAGCCTCCCCGCGGCCCTCACGCGTGCCCAGCGTCCTCGTGCCTTCCCTCCCTTCCGCTGTCGCGGATGGATCTTGGCCCACTGTCAGCATCACGTCCGCTAGCCTGTTCCTTGGCGTGTTGGCTTCCATTTTCTCAGGCCACAGGGCTGTGTCGCGGTCTCAGCCCTGTGGCGGGAGGAGGAGCCAGGTTGCTCTGTGCTGAGTCTCTGGAGGCCACCGCAGGGTGCACTGGGCGCGCTTTACAGGAGCCCGCGTCTCCCCAGAGCAGGGTGATTCTTTCTGGTGGCACTGGGCTCTTCTGGTGTGTTCTGCTGCTAAGCTGTCTGCTTTTGGAGAGTGTTTCAATGAACAGCCCGCATGTGTCACACAAACACCTCTAGTTTCACAGCTTCTGCTGTTCCGTGGCACCATGGAAGCTCAGAGCTTTGCATGTCCTAAATTCACCTTGAGATTTCTGTACAAGCTCAGACTTTGTGAGGCTGAGGAAAGTTTTATTGAAATAACAAATAAGGGACCTAGAGGATCAACAAGCCCAAGTGTAAGTGTCAGTGTCGTGAAAGTCTTTGTGTAGGTGTAAATCCTTCCGTGTAGGAAGTCTTTCTGGTCACAGCAATGGGGATTTGGAGTAATTAACAGCTCACATCCTGGCGGTCTGCTTCACTTAGGAGAAAAACAAGTATCTGGCTTAAAGCACAGAGTAATTGTGGCTGCAGAGTGATTAATTCCTAGTAAGTCACAGAATACCTGTATTAATTACCTCATCTTCCGTGGCAAATGCACGACTGTTTCTGTTAGTAGACTGCATTTATGATTCCTTTAACAGAGAGAGCTTGCAGAATCAGAGCCGTGGCAGAGTGTAGGTACCGTCTCTGTGGCTCTTTCTGTCTGGGTGCCCGTCTCTCTCTTTACCCATCTGAGTCTCTGGCTATCCATCTACTTCTGCATACTCATCTGCTTGGATATCCACCCACCTCAGTGTGCATCTGTCTGTCTATCTCCACCTGCCTGTGTGTCCATTTATCTCCTTGGGCATCCGTCTCTGCGTATCCCGCCATCTCTCTGGGCATCCATCCATCTGTCTGGTATCCATCTGTCTCTGTGTGTCCATTTCTCTGCGTGGCCAGCCATCTCTGCATATCCCGCCATCTCTCTGGGCATCTATCCGTCTCTCTGGTATCCATCTGTCTCTATGTGTCCATTTCTCTGCGTGGCCAGCCATCTCTGCGTATCCAGTTGTCTCTCGGGGTATCCTTCTGTCTCGCTGTATCTGTCCATCTCTGTGTATTCACCCATCCCGCCAGGTATCCATCAGTGTCTCTGGTATCCATCCATCTCTCCTTCATCCCTCTGTCTCTCCCTGGTCCCCACCTTCCTGCCACTACTTATGAGGGCTGGTGCCCTCCCTTTGCCTCTACGCCTCAAGGTGAATTTCTCCACAGTAGGGGTCAGTGGTCCAATTCCAGGCGAATGTAGAACACATTTCTCAGTGCGCCTGGATATACTGCAGCAGACTGTCTGTTTATTTGCCTTGTTCCTGTTCCTACTTGGATTACGTGCACTCCTCCCTGATCTTAAAATAGATGTGGATATTGCTGACACCTGCGCTCCCCGGAGGGCTGTTCCAGAGACGGACACGTCTGAGGGAAAAGGCGCAATGAGCCACCCAGAGGGGAGTAAGAACGCACGCGCTCTAGGAAGGTGATCTTAGGTGAAATTAATTTGCACTGATTTGGATGAAGACACAAACGCTTCCCAGAGTGACCATAAGGCAGAAGCGAGACAGCTGAGCTTTCTGAACGGCGCTAATGCTGACGCGCTTTCTAACTGGACATTGTCCATGTGCCTTCTTGTTTGTTGTTTGTTTGGCAGTGTCAGGATCGAACCACGGCCTTTGCACTGAGCTACATCCCCCCAAGTACCCCCACACGCTCTTTTGAGACAAGGTCTTACTAAATTTCCCAAGCTGCACTTGGAGTCATCCAGCCGCGGCCTCACAAGTGGTGCACCAACACATCGAATGCTGTTTCTTGTAAAGCTTAAAGCTGCCCTGTCGAAGGTTTTGTTGCTGCTCTGTTGTGAGTGGTCCTGCAGTCTGTCCTGCGTGGCACATTGTCCCCCTTTCCTAGGTCTCTTGTCTGGACCCTCCTTGCCCCACCGCATGGGTGGATTTCCTGTCATGTTTCCCCCCAGGATTTCTTCATATTTTTCCTTTGGGTTCTTCCATCTGGGATTTGAGCTTTAAATTTTCTCTTTGAATTGAAATATAAGAAGAAAAATTCTTGGCCAAGAAAATAACTTTAATTTGAATTTTTAAGTTGGATATGAAAACACAGAGATGGGCTGGGGAGGTGGCTCAGTGGAATAAGCACTTCCCTGGCAAGTGCAAGGGCCTGAGTTCAATCCCTGGTTCTGCCAAAAAAAACAAACAAACAAAAAACAAACAAATTAAAAAAACAAAACCACAGAAAATACCCCATTTCTGTTTATATAATGCAGGTTTCAAAACCAAAAGCAGAAGTGGGCATGGTGTTGCCTGCCTTCATCCCTGCACTCTGGGAGGCTGAGGCAAGCAGAGCCCAAGCTCAAGCCCCGCCTGAGTGATCCAGTGATTTAGCAAGACTTTGTCTCAAAATAAAAAATAAATTTTAAAAAGGAGTAGTACGGTACTCAGAGAAAAGGTCCTGCATTAAGTCCTGATGCCTCCCAGTTCCGCTGCCTCGGCCCTGCTCTGTGTCACAACTCCAAAGACAAGGGACAAGATCTGCTGCGGGGCCACACTCAGTCTGAACCATGATGGTCCCCACTCCCACGCTCTCGCAGGGGTCTCAGGCTCCGTGTAACTCTGCAGGAGTCTCGCGTCACAGATGGTCTTCTGGGAGATGTGGCTGCCAATGAGCAGGTGCCAGTGTCTTTCAAGGCCTCCCTAAAATGGAGACTGGGAGCTGGTGAGGCCTGAGCCCTGCCTTTGACCGGGGGTCTCGACCCTTCTGTCCCATCTGGGATAGCTTTACGTGGCTCAGGATCAAGTGACTTGTACGGCTGGCTATGCAGACTGAATGTTGAGTGACACCCACGAACTGGACAGAGCTGGTTTCTGTCGATTTGTGTGTCCCATAAATACCTACAGTGCTCTTGGGGACACACAGTGAAGTGGGCAGTGGCAGGGAGAGGTGTATAGGTGCCCGGTCACCATTGTCACAGATGAGCAGACCTGGACAGGGACAGATGCTGACAGTGGGGCTTCAGGTGGTCCCCAAGGAAGTGATTGAAGTTAGAGCTGAAAAACTCAAGAAGGCTGGGTGAGTAAAGAGCTCAGTGAGACCTCGGCAGAGCGGATCCAAGGAGCAAGGACCTTGTGGCAGGACATGATGGGGTGGGGGTGGCAGGCTTGGAGAGCAGGTGGCAGAGGGAGGCTGGAGGCCCAGCCAGGGCCTTGCAGAATCGTGCGTGGGAAGAGGGGATGAGGTTCTGGTCAGTGGGGACAGGGGAATTCACAGGCGGGACAGGCTGCACCTGGCCCCCTGGGTCAGGATGTAGCTAGAGTGAGGTGGGTTCCAGACTGGATATATTTTTTAAAATTTATGTATTTGTTACAGGGTCTCACTATGAAGCTCAGACTCATAGTGATCCTCCTGTTTTCAGCCTCCCCAACACTGGGATTACAGGCATGCGCCACCACACCCGGACCCTGGGGGGTGGGGCTGGCATAGCGTGCGGTACCAGGGATTGAACCCCAGTCCCGGCATTTACCTAAGCAAGGGCTTAGTCTGCTGAGCTATCTCGCCAGACCTCAGACTCTTTGAAAGAACCTACAATGCTCCCCAGCATAGGAAGCAGCTTGGGGTGGAAGTTTTGTGGCCTAGGAAGGGGACCCAGACACAGCCGGCTGCTGTTTACTGCAGAGGATGACCAGCCTTGGGACACACCCCTGCGCCTGCGTCAGTCAGGCCCTGTT